CCGCCTCCGCCTCCGCCTCCTTCTCCTCCTCCTCCTCCTCCTCCTCCTCCTCCTCCTCCTCCTCCTCCTCCTCCTCCCCCTCCTCCTCCTCCTCCTCCTCTTCCTCCTCCTCCTCCTCCCCCTCCCCCTCCTCCTCTACGGCGAGAAAGGGAGCTCCAGGGCCCCTCGGGATGGCCCCTCGGGATGGCCCCTGGGCCCCTCGGGATGGCCCCGGCCCGTCGTGGCAACGGCCGTGGGCACGCGGCTGTAACAAGAAAATCGTCTGCCTGGACGGTGCGTTGGGGCGGCCTGGTCGGCGGTGTGTCACGGATGACGGCCAGGATTTCTTAGTTCCGCGGATGACAGCGTAATGTGTTTGATTATGTGTTGTGCTTGCGTTGACATGGATATAACAAGTTTTGCCTTCGATTGGACAAGGCGCAGTGTGTGTCCAGCATAGCACGTGCAGCACGTTGGAGAGGCGGGAAACTTTTACAAAAAAGCTCGAGTAGGATTGTGCCCGCAGAGCGGGAGGCACGAGGGGTGTGCCGAGCTCCCCATGTCGTGGCCCCAGGGGGAGGGCTCCCCATCGGACCACGAAGGATTGCAGGGCAGAGCCACGCAGGGAGGGGGGAATGCGAAGAGCAGAGGCAAGGAGGTGCGGAGGGCCCAGGAAAGGAGGAGAGGGGGTTCGGAGGCCCTGGAGCTCCCTTTCTCGCCGTGGAGGAGGAGGGGGAGGAGGAGGAGGAGGAGGAGGAGGAGGAGGAGGAGGAGGAGGAGGAGGAGGAGGAGGAGGAGGAGGAGGAGGAGGAGGAGAGGAGGAGGGAGGGAGGAGGAGGAGGCGGAGGAGGAGGAGGAGGAGGAGGAGGAGGAGGAGGAGGAGGAGGAGGAGGAAAGGAGGAGGAGGAGGAGGAGGAGTCGGGCTTCCACTCTCTGCCCTAAAGCCGCGAACGAACGAACGAACGAACGAACGAGGAGGAGGAGGAGGAGGAGGAGGAGGAGGGCGAAGGCGAGGGAGCCCCGGGCCCGGCCACGAGCCCCAGGGATGGCAAGCCACGGACTTCGCTCGGACTGCACGGGGCATGCCGTCGGAGAGAACTGAGGGCCGAGAGCGCGCGACCGCGTGCTCCACGGGATCGCGCCACGGGGAGTCCGGCCCGCGGGGGCGTCGATGTGGACGTGCTCCCAGGCGTCGGACGCCCGGGAACGTGTCCAGAGGGTTTCCCGGACGTGTTCCCCGGCATCCGATCCCATGCCCACGCCCCAGAGTTTTCTATCTGCGCGGCCCCAGGGGTCTCGATCCCAGTGCCCCACGGCCCGATGGCGGGCCCCATGCAGAGGCCGAGCTCTCGGAAAGGTGCCAACCAAGCTTGAAAGATCGTGTCGTCGGAGATCTGGAAACGTGTCCATGCGACCATCCATGTATTCACGGGATCGCGTCCCTGAATCCACAGCACGAGGGTTTGAACATGGACATGTTCGCCGCTCGTTGTGGACCCCGAGATCCGATCCAGTGTTTTTTCGATGCGGGGTCCCCGGAAGACCCGACCCTCTCCCTGGGCATTGCTTCTCATCCCAGTCCTGGGGCCTGGCGAGGGCCCCCAGAGGCCGAACGATATAAAAAATACCCGTCTTGTTCTTCAGGCATTGCCACACTATATATATATATATATACATATACATATACATATATCAGATACCCGTATTTTATTTTTGTTTTTTAATATAAAAAAATACCCGCCCTGTTTTTTCCGTCCATTGCCAACGTGCATGGCTTGGTTTTCGGGCCGTAGCTTGGGTCGTCGGCGGCGGTTCGGGACGAGCTGGGCACCTCCAGAGCGCTCCCGGCGAGGCGCGGCTGCCAGCCGCATCCCGAGGCCGAGGACCTCCGCGGAACGACGCAGATTCCCGAACAGCTCGAGCCTCGAAAGTTTTCCAGCCTCCCCCAGATCAATACGCTGGATCCCGCGCTGGCAATTCGCACCCTCACTTATGCGACCCGCAGATTCTCAGGGTGGAACTCCGTGGCGGGGCTATGGGTGTGTGCTGTCAGATGGGTGTCTCCACTCGAACGGAAGCCTCCCTCGGGGCCCGAAAACTCGTGCCAATACTGTCCGTACCTACAGCCCCTTCGTCGCCATACCCTTCCCCGTTCCTCATGCCTATAGGTTTGAGTGAGACTGTTTTTTACCATCTGACTTGACTCGTAACGGTCGTCACCCAGACCAATTCCCCCTCACCAGCCCTCGCAGGTATAAGGAGGGGAAACAAACACACAGACACAAGTCATCGTCGACTCCCAGGAAGATATGGGAAAATATGGGAAGTGGGGGGGAGACAAAAACCCAGAAAATATAGGAATATATGGGGAATCCTGTTATTCTTCAGGCTTACGCAACATCCGCCGACCCCTTATGAAGAATCGCGCAGTGGTCTGGTCGCCTCTTTGGGTGGTCTGAGGCCCCTGGGCCATTCTTGGGGCATTCTTGGGTTGTTTTGGGGCCCCTTAGGCCGTCCTGTGGCAGTATTGGGCTGTCTTGGGGCTCTCTTGGGCTGTCATCGGCCTCTCTTGGGCTGTCATGGGGCGCTCTGGGCGTTCTTTTCGGCCGTCTTGGCCATCGCCATCTGTTGCCGAGGACTGTGGTATGCCCTTGGTGACCTCAGAACTGCTTTGCGGTGTCTTTTGGAACCGTCAGGGGCGGCCGTGGGGTGACCTTCAATCGTTTCAGGCCAGTGTGAAGCTATCTTGGCCCTTCCTGACCTTAAGCGGAGCCGTCTCGGCGTCCTCTGAGGCTGTTTTGGCGCGCCATGAACCTCTCGGGGGCCGTCCTGGAGCTCTCGCGGGTCGTCCCGTCGCCTGGTGGACCCTCTTGGCGCGACCTGGAGGCGATCTGGGGGATTTCGGGGTCAGGTGGATCCGGTGGGGCCTTCGGCCAGGGCCCGAGGGCGGGAAATCACGGACGCGAGGCATCTGACAGCAGACCAAACCAAGCCCTATTATCAGACGGGCGCAGGCCATAGGCCAGTGAAATGCCGCGACTGCGACGCGCATCGCAAGCGCTCGCGGGTGTTCAGGTGTTCCGCGTGCCCGACAGAAGCAGATGGAAGAGGCCGGGAGTTCACGGACAGGACGCATCTGACAGATAAGCAAGTGGAGCACTTCTTCGCGAAGGGTTCGGACCATCGCCCAGTCATGTGCCGCGCGTGCCAGGAAGAACGCAATCAGTCGCGAGTGCTCACGTGCTCCGCGTGCCCGAAAAAAGCAGATGGGAAAGAGCGAGAATTCACGGACAGGACGCATCTGACAGATAAGCAAGTGAACGCCTCTGACCCATAAGCAAGTATCGGACAGGACGCATCTGACAGATCTTCAAGAAGGGTTCGGCCCATCGCTCGGTGGCGTGCCGAGCGTGCCACGAGCAAAGGCAGATGGCGAAGAAGTTGGAATGCTCCGCATGTCCCGTGAAAAAGGACGGATCAAAGCCGACGTTCACTGACGGCGGCCATCTCTCGAAAGACCAGAAGAATAATTATTTCCACCGAGGCAATCTGGCGGTTTGCGCCAAGTGCTATAAGGCGGGACGGGCGCCTCGAAGAGACCCGCCGAAACGCCCTGCGGGAGCAAGTGACGAGCACGGCGGGAAGCAACGCAAGTTGCGAGGAATCTGACCGCGAGTCGCGCGCGCGCGCCGTCTTCGGGGCTCTCTTGGGCCGTCCTCGGCCCCTCTTGGCCCGTTTTGGTGCCCTCTTGGGCTGTCGCGGGGCCCTCGTGGAGGCTCCTTGGACCGTCTTGGTGCGGTCTGGGGGGGCTCTGGGGCCGCCCAGGAGCGGGGAACACCCCAAAAGGCGCACGTGCGAGAAAACATTTACGTTTTACGAAGGGAACGGGCGTTTTTGTAGGCTAGAGGCCCTCTTGTGGCGCATCGTGGATGCCTCTTGGGGCGTCTTGGGGGCCTCTGTAGCCGTCTGGAGGTCGTCGTCAGTGTTTTTGATCGCTCTTGGACCGTCGGGGACCATGTGGACCTCACTGCGAGGCCACTCGGGGCGCTCCTGGAGCGCTGTCGGGGCCGTTTTCTGAGCCCTTTTGGGCCGTCTTGGACGTCTGTTGGCCCGTCTTGGGGCCCTCTAGGGCTATATGGGGAACCCTCTTGGAGGCGTCTTGGACCGTCGGGGGGCGGGTTTGGGGGGCTCTGGGGCCGGCGCGCGTGTGAAAAAATAGACGTTTTACGGAGGGAACGGGCGATTTTTTGAGTCTAGAGGGCCTCTTGGGGCGAATCTTGGATGCCTCTTGGGCCGTCTTGGGGGCCTGTTGAGCCGTCGGGAGGCCGTCGTCGATGTTTGTGATCGTTCTCGGACCGTCTGGGGCCATTCGGAACGCTCCTGGAGCGCTCTTGGGGCCGTTTTCGGAGCCCTCTTGGGCCTGTCGGCCCGTCTTGGGGCCCTCTAGGGGTATGTGGGGCACCCTCTGCGAGGCTCCTGGGGCCGTCTGGGAGCGGGTTTGGGGGCCTCTTGGGCCGTCGGGGAGCATCGGAAAGGCCCAAAGCCGAAATTGTGAAAAATGTACGTTTCACGAAGGGAAATGGGCCAATTTTTGCGTCTAGAGACCCTCGTGGAACGCATCTCGGAGGCCCTCGGGGGGGCTCGTGGGGGCCTCTTCTGCCGTCGAGGACGCCTCGTGGCCCGTCTTTGGGCCACATTGGGCGGCTTGGAGCGCTCGTTGGGCGTCCCAGAGCCATGTCGAGGCCACCAGAGGAGTCCCTGCACGATTTTCATGAGGTTTTGCGCGATTTTCGGGAGCGGATGACCCCTCCGTTCCCATCCGGGGGATCCGGCCCGACCCCCCCCCCCTTCCAAATCGACCGGACCGGGCTCCCGGGGGAGGGGTTTGGGGAGGGGGAACATTTCACACGCCGATGAATCCCAAGGGGTCGGCGGATTTGTGTGTATTTATTCGTGTGTCCCAGGACCCCTTCAGTAGCGGTCGTCACCCAGGCCAATTCCCCCTCACCAGCCTTCGCAGGTATTGGTAACGATCGTACGTGGGGGCGGGCCTGGATCCCCGCCCGCACGCTGGCGCCCGCGCGCATTTCGTTTGGCGATTGCAGCGCCCCGACGTGTCCCACCCCCGCCCAAGCGTTGTCGTTAGTCGGGTTCCGGAGTCCCCTCCAGGTAACGACCATAACCCGACATATTACGTTCTGTACATATACTTAGTAAGTCGGGCCCGTCCCTCTTCAGGGGGAATGTTTTAAAAGAAAAACATCCAAAAATGATCTGGGGACTATGTGTTGAGTATTGGTTTGCATTTGGGGCGTATGTTTTGGGGTATGTTTTATTTGTCGCCCGAAATTCCCCTGTAGGGGGACAGGCCCGACCGAAACCTATACGACCACCTTTGGGGTGACAAGGAGTTTGGGCGTAGGGGGGAAAGAGCCAACTGCTGGCAAGTGCACTGGGTGTGATGATGATGATGATGATGATGATGATGATGATGATGATGATGATGATGACGGTGCTGGTGACGCGCCCTCGAACTAGCGACGACGCGTGATGACGATGTTGCACTGCGATGTACTGTCGTTTTCGTCCCCGCCTCCTATCCCACAACCGCTGTCACAATCAAGCTCCCTGTCGATTCTTGTCCTGATCTCATTTTTGGCGATCTCATTTTCGATCCCATCCTTGTCATCTTGTCATTCTCATTTTTGGCGATCTCATCTTTGGCGATCTCATTTTTGGCGATCCTCATTTTCGATCCCATTTTTGCTCTCGTTTTTGTCCTATCCATCCCATTCTGGCGATCTCATTTTCGATCCCACTAGGGATTGAACCGTCGACATCACGGCGGGACCCTCTGGCCACCGCCCGCCCACTGCCGACAGAACACCGACAGAACACCGACGGGACACCAACGGGACACCAACGGGACACCAACGGGACACCACGGCGGGACACCCCGGCCCACCGCGCGCTCATCCCGCGGAGGGGCGGGGCGGGACACAGACGCCCGCCGACGGCGCGCGCCCGCCAAGTAGGGGCCCACTTCTGGCGGCGCGCTGTGGCCAGGATGTTTGAAGCGGGTCCGGCGGTGGCGGCGAGAGCCTCCCAGGGAGGGCCGAGTCGAGGGGCAAACGATGGCACAAGCACAGATGCTCTCGGATCTCCGCGGGGATCTCCCGGATCTGGGGCGGTGGGAGGGTCCTCTACATTCAGGAGGGAAAAAAAACACACAGACACAATTAATCCTCGATTCCCAGGAAAATATGGGAAAATATGGGAATTGGGGGAGAAGACGAAAACCCAGGAAATATGAGAAAATATGGGGACTATTTTTATTTGTGTGTATTTATTTGTGTGTCCTAATTTCCCGTTATACATCCGGATCACCCTAGCGACGGCGGGGTCATTCCCTCGCGCGCAGCTTCGCCTCGCGCGCACGCGCGGCACGAACACGAAGCCGAAGTCGATTTCCCAGTGGGGGGCTCTCGAGATCCCGCTGCGACCTCACCCCGCCCAGCCTCCGATATCTGTGCTCGTGCATGCATCATGAAGCAGGAGGGGAAAAAACACACAGACACAATTAATCGTCGATTCCTAGGAAAATATAGGAAAATATGGGAATTGGGCGGGAAGACAAATACCCAGAAAATATAGGACAATATGGTGACTTATTTTATTTGTGTGCATTTATTTGTGTGTCCCAGGGCCCCTTCAATGAAGCAGGGTGCCTACATTTCGCGTGGCAACGGTACGCGGTGCACCACGACATGCGGAGTGCAGCAGACGACGGACCTGTCACTGAGAGAGCATACTGAGGCTTGCGTAGTGCAGTTGCATGTAGCTGCTGTGTAGTTTCTTGTCTCGCCTCTCCCACACGCCAGTGCTGATGTAGCCACGGTTTGTGTTCCAACGTACGGGATTGCGTGTCTCGTGCGCCCGCCTTCTGAGAGGACCGCCCGTAGGGGGCTGGAATGCGCGCCCGTCTGTCTGCCTGTCTGTACGTTTTGAGCGCGTGTTGTTCTTTCCTACTCGGCCCGCCGCTTGGGATGCTTACGTTGCATCTTTGGGGGACCTCGTCTGTTCCCAAGACTGGTGTCTTCTCGTGTGCCCGACGCAGGCTCGATGCGGACTCGACGCGGATGTGGCGTGGATTCGCGCGGATCCGACGTGGATCCGACACGGACATCCCGCGTCTCCGGCATGGATTCGACACGGACTCGACGCGGTTAGGGGCGCGCCGGGACCGACGAGGTCCCCCGCAGATGCAGCATGAGGATGGACCCCCCTCGCGTGCCGACGGCGGGCAGGCGGCGCAGCAGCTTCAGCCTCTTCGGCCGGCCGTCGCTGGACGCGAGCCGCCTGCAGCTGCCCGAGCCCTCCGGCAGCGCCTGCCGGCGGAGCGCCCGCCCCCCGATATGTCCGTTCCCGGGAGCCCCGGGCGGCGACGCCGAGGTCCACGGGTCCTTGGAGCCGCGCTCGGGCCGCATCCTGGCCCTCTCGCCTGCCCCTCCTCGCCCCTCCGCCGCGTGTTTCCCTTCGGCCGTCGCTCCTCTTGCTCCTCCTCGCCCCCCCCCCCCTCGCTCCTCCTCGCCTGAAATCGGGCCGGTCCCTCTCTCTACAGGAGGAATGTTCAAAAACTATCCAAAAACCAAAAATAGTCAGGGTACTATGTTTGTTGCCATTTTGGCGCATGTTTGGGGTATTTGCAATTCTTCGCCGAAGATCCCCCTGTATCAAGCAGTGGCGAAGCGTCCTGGCTCGCCTATAGCCCTACCAAGCAATGTTCTAAGAACCTTTCGTGGTTCCTACGACATGTTCTTAGAACATATCTGGCTGGGACTGTCTCGTTTTAACACATCGGGCATATGTTCTAAGGACATTGTTCTGTGTTATTAGAACATTTTCGGGTTCAAATAACATTTCGTGGTATGACTATCGGGATGCCGGGACTGTCGGTCCCTGCTCAACTGTAGGGGGACACGCCCGACGTAGTCCTCGGCCTTCCGAGCCCGCGGCGTCGGCAGTCGCACCTCGCGCGTGCGAGCAGCGAGTTCGGCGGTGCCCCGCACGGCCCTCTCCGGCCGGCAGGCCCGCGGGCTCGCCCAGGCGGGAACGGCAGCGAGGCGAGAGCTCGGGCGGACGAGAGCGCAAGCGCTGTCAGTGCTGATGGGCCTGTTTTCCACCACCACCACCAGAAGTCGGAGGGGGGAAGGAGGAGGAGGACGAGCAGGAGGAGGAGGAGGAGGAGGAGGAGGAAGGAGGAGGAGGAGGAGGAGGAGGAGAGGAGGATGAGGAGAGAGGAGGAGGGGAAGGAGGAGGAGGAGGAGGAGGAGGAGGAGGAGGAGGAGGAGGAGGAGGAGGAGGAGGAAGAGGAGGAGGAGGATGAGGAGGAGGAGGAGGAGGAGGAGGAGGACCCCCCTGCGCGGAGGGGGGAAGGAGGTGGAGGACGAGCAGGAGGAGGACGAGAAGGACGAGGAGGACGAGGAGGAGGAGGAGGAGGAGGACGAGGAGGAGGAGGAGGAGGAGGAGGAGGACCCCCTCCCACTCCCACTCATGGTGGTGGTGGTGGTGGACAACAGGCCCGTCAAGTGCCACGAGGCCACGACCTCACCCCTCCGGCTCCGTCTCCCCCGCCTCCCTTTCTGCTCGCCTCCCCCCGTGCGACGGGGCCCCAGATCCCGGCAACGCATCGGGCCCTCGCCCTCGCCCTCGGCAGCCGCTCTGCGCAACGACTGCGCTCGGCTCTCCCGCCCCCGAAGGTGTGGCCGGAGAGCGCCTCCGCGCCAGAGGCGGGGGGAGGGCAAAGGTTCCCGCCCTCGCCCTCGGCAGTCGCTCTGCGCAACGACGGCGCTCTGCGCTCTGCTCGCCCCCCCCCCGGAGATGTGGCCGGGGAGCGGCCCCCCTCCGCGCAGGCGGGGGGGGGTGAGGTTCCGGCCCGGCCTCCCGCCCTCGCCCTCGGCAGTCGCTCCTGCGCAAAGACTGCGCTCTGCCCTCCCGCCTCCGAAGTTGGCCGGGGAGCGGCCCCCCTCCGCGCAAGAGGTGTGGGTGGGGGTGGGGGGGGGCAAGGTTCTCGCCCTCGCCCTCGCCCTCGGCAGTCGCTCTGCGCAAAGACTGCGCTCTGCTCGCCCCGCCTCCGAAGTTGGCCGGGGAGCGGCCCCCTCCGCGCAGGGCGGGTCCTCCTCCTCCTCCTCCTCCTCCTCCTCCTCCTCCTCCTCCTCCTCCTGCATGGTGACACAACTCGGCCCACCGGTACCCCCGTTCGAGCCTTTCTCACCAGCGCAGTCCCCCTCTGCCTGGCCGACGACGCTAAAGTTGTGTCGCCAAGGGCAGCTGTCCAGCCCGCCTCATGTCGGGGGCGGCAAAGAGGGGGGTGATGACTAGGGGGGGGGGATATCATGGCGGGGGCCATGATATTTCCCCACATTTCATGCCGCCTCTTCTTATTTCATTACGTCCCTGGCCTCCCCCCTGGGCCGTGCACATGCCGCTGGCCATGAATTGCACCCCCCCTCTTGGACACTCCCCCCTTGGCCGCTCCCGATCATGGAGGGGGCGCATTCGACCAGCAGGGCCGCGCGAGGCGGTGCCTCGGTGGCCCCAGCATGCACGCGCGAATATGCAAAAATAGTAAAAGAATCGTCGGGGTATTTTTTCCAGTATTTGTTGACCATTTTGGGGCATTTTTTGAGTGTGTTTTATTTTTCGTCGGAAATCCCCCTGTAGGGGGACACGCCCAACTTCAGGTTAGCTCTGGAGGGGGTGCCCTTCGCCTTCTATGCGAGGCCTCGTGCAGGTCCCTCCCCCGGGCCCGCCCAGGCCTAAATACAGTGGAGGCCCCTGCCAAGGAGCACCCTGCCCGCCCCCAGGGTGCCCAGAAGGGCTTCTTGGGCTTCGGTTATCTCAGGAGGGAAAGAAGCACACAAACACAATGAATCGTCGATTCCCCAGAAACTAGGGGAACTATGGGAAGTGGGGGGGAAGACGAACACCAGAAAATATAAGGAAATATGGTGAATCCCATTATTTGTGTGTATTTATTTGTGTGTCCTTGGGCTCCTTGAATATTTGTTTTGGCAATGGACAGCGCGACGCTCCTGGGGTCTCAGGGTCGGGTTTCTTGTGGAAGGTTTCTTGTGGTCGGGCCTCCACTGTACCCCGAACCTGCCCCAGGCCCAGGATCGGCTTGCCCCAGGCCGCCCTGCCCCACTTCAGCCCCTCGCGGCCGCGTTTCCTGCGGCAGCGCTCCGGCTGCACCCCTGCTCCCGCGAAGCGCGGCTCGACGCTCTGGCGCCAGAGGCCCCGCAGGCCTCGATGGGCGGCAGGGGGCCTCGCGGAGCGGTCCCGCCCGCGTCCCTGGACGACCCACGGCCATCGCCACGCTGGCCCTCCAGCTGCGGGTCGGCTGGGGGGGTTCCGGGGGGCGCGGCGCCGCGAGTGAGGAGGCCGCGCGAGTCGAATGCACTCCCGAGTGCTACGCGAAGTCCCGGGGCAAGTCCTGGGCCGGCCCCGCTGGGGGGGAAAGAGGGCGGGGCCACTGGTCGGGGGCGGCCAAGTAGGGGTGCGATGCCTATAGGGAGGGGCGGATCTCATGGCGGGGGCTATGGTATCTCCCCAGATCTCGTGGCGCCTCTTCTTACTTCAGTACGTCCCCGGCGCCCCGCGAGGGCGGGGCCATGGCGCCCCGCCCCGCCCCCTCCGCTGCGGGGGGGAAGGGGGGGGGGAGCGGTGCCCCGCGGGGCCTGGACAGGGGCCCCCAGGGGCCGAACTGGAGCAGCGGCCCGGCGAGCGCGATCGCAGGCGACACCTCATCGCCCCCGGCCCCCGCCTGGGTGGCGGAAAAAGGAGGCCGCCGAGGAGAGGAGGGGCGCTCGGGGATGCACCCCCTGCAGGGGGACTCGAACTTACTCGGACGCACCCCCTTATCGAGGATGCATGCCCCCCTTGGTAGATCCCTGGGCTGGGCCCCGTGTGTTTGCCCCCCCCCCCCTTCCTTAGCTTCGACCGGAAGAGGTGCGCTCTCGACCCGCGAATCAAAAAAAGTGTTTGCCCCCCCAATCGAGGATGCACGCCCCCCCCTTGGTATATCCCCGGGTTGGGCCCCATGTGTTTGAATATCGCGAAGTCGGGGATGGGGGTCGACATATTTCCTCTGTTGCACTTGGTCTGGGCCTCCTAGAGGGGATCCGAGTAGACGGGGTCGGAGAATCCCGCCGCATCGCCGATGCATCGACGATGCGGCTCGATGTGGAGGCCGTGTTGCCCCACGACGACGGCGCCGATGCGTCGCCGACGTCGCTGATGCATCGCCGATGTACCGGTGATGCATCGGCGATGCATTGGCGATGCGGCGCGATCCTCCGACCCCATCTACTCAGACCCCATCCAGGAGGCCTCCAATTGGCGTGGTTGCGCGCTGGTATCGTTTGCGATCGGCGCCCTTGGGACTAGGGCCGCCACCTTGCGCCACAGGTCTGCTGAGCCATCGCCAAGGCGCGGCAAAGATCTCTGTCGAGGTCCTCGCCCGCCCCCCAGAGGGCGAGATTGCAGACCACGCCCTGTTCAAACCACATCTTTCGTTCGATGCTCGTGTTGGGGACCTTCTGGTTGCATGCTTAATAGATCAGCTCGACTCCAGTCCGACTCCAGTCCGACTCCAGTTCGACTCCAGTTCGACTCAAGTTCGACTCAGGTTCGACTCAGGTTCGACTCAGGTTCGACTCGAGTCGACGGACGTTCGACGCATCTTCGACGCACGATCGGAGCGATTGGCTCCAAAAAGGTTCGCATAATGAGTATCTTTGGGTGTCGCCGTCGGAGGTCTGCAACTCTTTCCCAGGGCAGGTTTCCCAGGTCGTTTTCTGACGGTCCCCAGGGCGTCGTGTATATATATATATATACATATACAAGTGTATACATATATCTATAGTCAGTATGTTACGCCATAGCCTTCTGCCAAATCAGCCATACACCCATTTAGTTCCGCTCATTCCGGCTGGACCCGGCTGGCTCAAGAACCCGTTTGAGCCTGCCTCATTTCTTGCATACGTTGCCCTATTACGACGAGGAAAAAACGGCATGAACAGTAGGAATGCTCGGAGTTCCGCGCGGATTTCTTGGATCGGCGCTGGAGGGCCCCCTGGCGGCGCCTCCGGCGCCGCTCCAAAAAGTCCGCGCGTGGTTCCAGAAGAGTTAGGTTGCTCCTTCAGTATTATGGCTGTTAGTCGCTCGAGTTGGGGATCGACAACAGAATCGATTTACCCCAGAATTGATCTTGCCGTCGAAATCTACGGATAATTCTACGCATGTTTCGCAGAGCCGACGATCAAATTTATGTTGGGGCGCATCAATCCTGCAGTCGATCCCCCACTCGAGTCACTGCCTACCGAACCACCCCAACCCAACCCGCCAGAAGGTTCCAGACCCCCCCAAGACATTTCGCGTTGGGGGTGGGGTGTACGGGTTCCACTCTCTGCGTGTGTGTGTTAGTGTGTGTGTGTGTGTGTGTGTGTGTGTGTGTGGTGTGTGTGTGAGTGTTTTGGTGTACGGGTTGCGCGTGCGCGTGCGCGTGCGCGTGCGGGTGCGTGTGCGTGCGCGTGCGCGTGCGCGTGCGCGTGCGCGTGCGCGTGCGCGTGCGCGTGCGCGTGCGCGTGCGCGTGCGCGTGCGCGTGCGCGTGCGCGTGCGCGTGCGCGTGCGCGTGCGCGTGCGCGTGCGCGTGCGAGTGCGCGTGCGCGTGCGCGTGCGCGTGCGCGTGCGCGTGCGCGTGCGCGTGCGCGTGCGCGTGCGCGTGCGCGTGCGCGTGCGCGTGCGCGTGCGCGTGCGCGTGCGCGTGCGCGTGCGCGTGCGCGTGCGCGTGCGCGTGCGCGTGCGCGTGCGCGTGCGCGTGTGCGCGTGCGCGTGCGCGTGCGCGTGTGCGCGTGTGCGTGTGCGTGTGCGTGCGCGTGTGCGTGTGCGTGTGCGTGTGCGTGTGCGTGTGCGTGTGCGTGTGCGTGTGCGTGTGCGTGTGCGTGTGCGTGTGCGTGTGCGTGTGCGTGTGCGTGTGCGTGTGCGTGTGCGGGCGGGCGGGCGGGCGTGCGCGCGTGCGAGCGAGGGTGTCTGTGTGTGTGTGGGTGTGTGTGCGGGTGTGTTTGTGTGTGTTGCCCGATGCTCCAGAAGAGCGCCCCGCCACGTTGGAAATCGACGGGCCCGAGGGCCACTTCGGGCTGGCTTCGGCGGCCTGGCGGGCGGCCCGTTGAGTCGGTCTTGCTAGAGGTCCCCCCCCAGGAGCTTGCCTCCCGCAACCCTCGGGAGTGCCAGAGGTGCCCTTGGCCCAGGGTGCCCCGAGCTCGTCGCTTCATCGTGGAGCTCCTGGGGCCCTCGGGGCCGCGCCTGGCGCTCTCTCACGGAAGGTGCGCCCCGAGGGCGTCTTGACAGCTTGGGCCTTCCATTCTGCCGGCGCTGCGCTGGGCTTTCTGCGTGGTGCGCTGGCGTCGGCCTGCGCAAAGAAGCCCCCCGCCCCCTCCGCCTCCTCATGCTCACCCTGCTTGCCCGCATCGCCGGAGGAGAGAAGGGTGTTCTGGAGGCCGTGGGGGCCTCCTGGGAAGTCCTGGGGGGCACCCTGGGCCAGGGGCACCTCCGGCAGCACCCGACGCGTGGCATCGCTCGGCCGTGTGCACCCCTGCTTCCCAGGCGCGGGCCTTGTCTATCGCTGTACGGCGTGCGCCTTCTCAAGAGCAGCCTCCTCCTAAGAAGCCTTCCCCCCCCTTCCCCCCGGCCCCCTGCCGCGCGCCGCCGGACGTCCGTGGATCCAGCGTGTGCTCCCCCCCGCCCCCCCGCCTCCTCCGCGGCCGCCGCCTCTTCCGTCCCCTCTCCCCCTCCTTCCAGCTCCTGCAGCTCGGCGCCGCTCCGGCGCGTGCACTCTCTCGGGGGCGAGAGGGCCCTCGCGGAGCATGCGTGGGGAAGGGACGCCCGCGCCCCTGGACCCTCGCGCACCCTCGCGGAGGACCCTGGACCCTCGCGGAGCATGCGCGAGGCACCCTGGACCCTCGCGCACGGCGAGGAGTCAAGTAGGGGATCGACTACAGAATTGATTTACCCCTCAAGTGATCTCGTCGTCGGAACTAGGAAGGAATACGTAGAACGTCCCTGGATTTCGACGTGATCCTTCGTAGATCCGACGGAACAAAAACAATTTTGGGGCAAATCAATTCTGTAGTCGATCCCCTACTCGAAGGAGGCCCTCACGGCCAGGGGCGCCCCGCCCCCCACGGCCCCGCCGCCCCGCCGGCGAGGGCCGAGGGGGCGGGGCCGCGGCGCTCCGCAGAGCCCCCCCGGGCGCGGCCGAGCCGCCGCGCCGCCCGCGGAGCCAGGGCGCGGAGCCAGGGCGCTGCTGGCCTCGGGCGGGGAGGCGGGCGAGAGCTGCGGGTGGAGGAGACAGGACGTCCGCGAGGAGGAGGAGGGAGGAGGGAGGAGGAGGAGGGAGAGGAGGGAGGAGGGAGGAGGGAGGAGGGAGGAGGGAGGAGGGAGGAGGGAGGGGGGAGGGGGAGGAGGAGGCGAAGGGGAGGAGGAGGAGGAGGAGGAGGAGGAGGAGGAGGAGGGAGGAGGAGGAGGAGGAGGAGGAGGAGGAGGAGGAGGAGGAGGAGGAGGAGGAGGAGGAGGAGGAGGAGGAGGAGAGGGGAGGAGGGGGGGGGAGGGGAGGGGGAGGGGGAGGGGGAGGGTTGAGGAGGAGGAGGAGGAGGAGGAGGAGGAGGAGGAGGAGGAGGAGGAGGAGGAGGAGGAGGAGGAGGAGGAGGAGGAAAAGGAGGAGGAGAGGAGGAGGAGGAGGAGGAGGAGGAGGAGGAGGAGAGGAGGAGGAGGAGGAGGAGGAGGAGGGGGGGGGGAGGAGGGGGGAGGGGGAGGGGGAGGGGGAGGGGGAGGGGGAGGAGGGAGGGGGAGGAGGAGGAGGAGGAGGAGGAGGAGAGGAGGAGGAGGAGGAGGAGGAGGAGACCCAGAGCCCGTTTTTTTTTGGGTCGCGGCCGCGAGCGAAAGCGCAGGCGGCGAACAGGGTGTCCGGGCCGACGGGCAAGCCTAATTAGCTGCAGGGCGCAGCGCGAGCCGGCCAGGCCAGCCCTCAGAGGCAGCAGCTGCGGCAGAGACCCAGACCCCCTCGCGCAGGGACAAAGAATTCACAACGGACTGTTCTTCTTCTTCGCTGTTCTGCACCTCCCGGGGTCCCCGCCGGGCCCCGGGGCCGTCAAGCAACGGCTCAGGATGAGAAGCCGGTGCTAGGGAATGGGTCGAGACCTTTGGGGAGACGGGACGTCAGAGGAGGAAGAGGTACCCAATCGAAGAGGAACAGGTACCCATTAGCCTCTGGCGCCGCCCCAGGCGCGCTCCGCGCACCAGGGAGGGGGGTCCAGCGCAGATCCGAGAAATCCCGGCGGAGTGCCAACAGCTTATGTTTATAATTGTTTCTCTTCTTCTGCCCATACCGCTGCCCTTCGCCCGTTTTCCCTTCTGCCGGCCTCCTGGGAGGCCCTCGTCGCCACCGCTGGGTTCGCCTTGGAATCCTGGTCAGAGCGCATCCCGGGAGAGGTCTGGGGAGGAGACACGGCATAATACCACCGGCCCGCTGTCCGATTGTGGTCCCCCGTTATCCCCCTGCCTTTGTCGGGGGCGGCAAAGAGGGAGGTGATGACTAGGTGTGGTGGATATCGTGGCGGGGGCCATGACATCTCCCCAGATTTCATGGCGCCTCCTCTTATTTCGTTACGTCCCCGGCCCCCCCCCCGCTGGGCCGTGCACATGCCGCTGGCCATGATTTGCGCCCCCCCCTCTTGGACACCCCCCTCTTGACCGCCCCCGCCTCTGTCCCTTTCTTCCGGCCAGCCGCGCCCCCCCCTCGAGCTCTCCCCCCGTGGCCTGTCTCCCTTGCTTCCGACCGGCCTCCCCTCGCTGCCCGGCCGTGGCCCCGCGCTCTCCTCCCCCCCCCGCCCCCTTCTTGTTGTTCCAACCGACCGTGCCCCCCCCCCCCTCGCCACGTGACCGTCCCCTTCTCCTTCTTCCTGCCGACCGTGCCCCCCCCGTTGCCGGGACGTGGCCCCCCGCTCCAATTCCCCCGCCCCTGTCCCTTCATTCCGGCCGATCGCCCCCCCACTCTCCACGTGGCCCGTTTCCCCGTCTATTCCGACCGGCCGTGCCCTCCCCCCCGCTGCCCCGACCGTGCCCCCCCCCTTGCCCGACCGTGGCCCCCTTCTCCGCCCCCCGTGCCCCATTCCCTTGATCCCGACCGACCGTGCCACCTCCCTCCCCGCGTGGCCTCCCTTCCCCTTTTTCTTGCCGACCGTGCCCCCATGCTCCCCCCGTCGTGGTCCCCGCCCACTTCAACCCCAAGCGGCCGCTCCCCCCCCCTTCCCGACAGGCGTTCCCGGCCCCCCCCCACCGCTTCCTGTCCTCATCCGGACCGACCGTCCCCCCCCACCCCCCCCACTTCCCCCCCGTGGCCCCCCCCTCCCCGATTCCGACCGACCGTGCCCCCCCCCCCCCCCCCCCCTCCGCTGCCCGACCGTGCCCCCCGCTCCCCGCCCCGACCCCTTTGTCCGCTTCTTGTTCCGCCCCCGCCCGTGGCCCCCCCCCCCGCTTGCCCCGTGGACCCCTGCCCTCTTTCCGGCCGGCCCGCCCTCCCCCGCTCCCCCCCGGCTGCCCTCCCGCCAAGACGGCCCCGAGAGGTGCCCCCCCCCTGAGAGGAGAGCCCCGGCACGGCCGAAGCCTCTCAGGACGCCCGACGACAGCCCCGAAGAGCCCCAGAACGACCCACAAGGGCACCAACGATGTCTAAAAAGGGCCCCAACGGGACCCCCGAGAAGCCCTGGAGACGCCAAACAACAAAGCTTCCGAAAAGCGCACCGTGACAAAGCGCTTCGCTCTATATATATATATATATATATATATATATATATATTGATCCAGGGGCGAGGGTCCACGGGCCCCCCCCCCAGATGGTATGGTCCAGGATTCATCGGGCCCCCCCAGATGGTATGTATGGTCCCAGAGACGACGGACGACGACGACGACGACGACGACGACGAGCGACGACGACGACGACGACGACGACGGACGACGACGACGACGCGACCGACGACGACGACGACGACCCGACGCGCGACCGCGACGCCGGCGGCGGCGACGACGACGATGACGACGATGACGACTGCGACGACGACGACCACGACGACGACGACGACGACGACGACTATGACGACGACGACGAGGACGACGACGACGACGACGACGCCTAATTACCTGTGAACCACCACAGCACCACACCACATCCACAGGGGGGGGGAGGGGGGCACCGCAGCGCAGCACCACGCCACGCCTACCTGTGAACCACCACAGCACCACACCACATCCACAGGGGGGGGGAACCGCAGCGCAGCACCACGCCAGGCCCACAGGGGGGGGCGGGCGGGGGGGGCCATCGCGCGGGGGGGGGGGGGGGCAATGGCTCAGCATTGGGGGGGGGGGGCAAGCCCTGGACCATATATACCAAAGGTCGGCATCAGAAAGCACGCTGTTAAAACTTCGCAAACGTCTCTCGTCATATTGAGGTCGCCTTCAGATCGAAACCGTGCGCTGCATTCACACAGCCATGGGTGCAGTTCGCCGCTCCCTCGTTGTGGTCAGCCGCCAGCCCGTCGGAGCCCTCGCGCGCTTCCTCAAATCGACGAGAGCTTGGCGGCATCGCCGTCTTCCATTGCCCCGCGTCCGTGGTGGTATGATCCTTGGCACGCGTGCCTTGGTTGTTACAAGGAAAAGGAAAGGAGGAGGAGGAGGAGGAGGAGGAGGAGGAAGAGGAGGAGGAGGAGGGAGGAGGAGGAGGGGGGGAGGAGGAAGAGGAGGGGGAGGAGGGGGGAGAAGAGGAGGAGGAGGAGGAGGAGGAGGAGAGGGAGGGAGGAGGAGGAGGAGGAGGAGGAGGAGGAGGAGGAGAAGGAGGAGGAGGAGGGGAGGAGGAGGAGGAGGAGGGGAAGGAGGAGGAGGAGGAGGAGGTTTGCCCGCCCCTGCGACGGCCCCCACGGCGTACAGGCGCGCCTACCCCCCGCCTCTCTTTGTTCGTTGCGCAGCACGTCTCATTGAGGGATGCTCCCCACTACTGGGAAATTGGGGAATTGGGAGGAGAGGGAGAAATTGAGGATGAGGAGGAACATCCCAGGAGCCTTCGTAGGGCCTTCCTGGGGCCTCCTGGGAGTGTCCTCCAAGTTTCTTGGGGGCCACTCGGGGGCCCTTTGGGGCTTCCTGGGCCGTCTGGGGTGCTCTTGGCCCGTCTGACGCCCACGGAGGCCGCCTTGTGGCCCTCTCTTGACCGTGTTGGTGCACTTTTTGGGAGCGGTTCACGGCCGTCCTAGGGTCTTCTTGGGAGCCTTTTGGCGGATATGCGGGCCCCTGCTGGTCGATTTGAGGCCCTCATGGCGGTCTCTTTGGCTGTCTTGGGGCTAGCTTGGATGCCTTTTCAAGGCCTCCTGGGCCGTCTTGCGCAGTCGGAAGCCCGAGCAGACGATATTCTCAAACTCCGTCAACATCCAAAGGGAAGTCAATGGTGTTGGCCCCGTCGGTCTCTCCAGGAGTGCCTCTTGGAGCCCTCTTGGGCCGTCACGGGGGGCGTCTTTATACGTGTTGAGGCTGTCTATGGAGCCTCCTGACTCTCGAGCCGTCTTGGGCCATCTTGATGTCATTCTGGCTGCCGTGAAAGGCGTCCTGTAGGGCATGAGGCTCCGAAAAAGGCCTCAAGACAGTTCAAGAGGCGCCCAAAACGGCCCAAGAGGTCCCAAGAGGTCCTCAAGGAGAGCCCAGGGTGACGAAAACCATTGGTTGTCCGTAGGTATTTGACGGAGATTGAGGTTCTGGCATGTTCAAGTTTCAGACCGCCCAAGACAACGCAAGAGGCCTTTTCTGGGCAGTCGTGTTGTCTCTAGGAGCGCTTCAAGGTAGTATGGAGGTCCTCTTGGGGGCCCGATGGAGCGATCTGTGGGTCCTCTTCGGCCGGCTTGGGCCCAATTAGGGGCCTCCTGGACTGTCTCGGAGTTCGCGTGTAGGCGTCTTAGGCCGTCTTGGGCAGTCGGAAGTCGGAACAGGCGAGAACCTCACAAGTTGTGTAAAGCAAAGCGGGGATCACTGGCTGGGGCCCCCAGGCTCTCCGCGAAGGCCTCGTGGAGCTTCTTGGGCCGTCCTGGGGGCCCCTTGGTGCCCTCTTGGGCCGTTTTGGGGGCCTCTTCGGCCGTCTTGATGCTGCCTCGAGAGGCTCTTGAGCTGTCTTGGGCCGTTTTGGGCAGTTATGTTGTGGTCTTGGCTCTTGGCTGTCCCGGAAGCGGTTGTGGCGGCCGTCTGAAGACCGTAAAGGCCGCCAGCTAACGAGTTCACAGAAGGCGTCTTTAGGGGCGCGCGCGGCGAGGGGGACGGGGCTAGAAGCTTTCAAGAACTCCCCAAAGACAACAGACGAGCATGACGGAGAGAGCGGTAGCGAGAGAAGTTCTGCACAAGGGCTTTAGCCCCAAAAGGAGGGGGATCCGGGTGGGGGGTGGACCGCGCAGATTTTCGATCACGCCCTCCGGGGACCATGATGGCAGCTTTTTCGGCCCAGGACGGTCCAAGCGACACCCAAGAGGCTCCCAAGACGGCTTTAAGATATCTCCTAGACGGTCCAAGCGACGCCCCAGAGGCCCCAAGAGGGCCCAAGAGCGCTCCAGGAGGGGCGACGGTGGCCCCGAGACGGCCTCAGAAGCCCCCCGGACGCCCCAAGAGGCCCCAACGAGGACCTCCAAGAGGGACTCAAGAGTCAAAACAAATCGATTCACCTTGGACTGTTGACGTTGTCTGGGGTTCTCGCCTTTTCGGGTCAAAAACTGCCAAAGACGCCTTTAGGAGCCTCAGAGGTCGCCCCAACACGTCCCCAGAGGCTCCCTAGAGGGGTTGAGAACATCCCAAGAGAGGTTCAGGACGGCCCACGACAGCCCCAAGACGGGCCAAGCAGGGCCCCACAGAGGCAAAAGATGCTCTCTGGAGAGCTTCACTGGGGCCACAAGAGGCTTCCATGAGGACCCGTGGGCGCCCCAAGCTGGCCCAAGCCCCCCAAGACGGTCCAAGAGGGCCGCAGGACGGCCCAAGAGGGCCCCCGGACAGCCCAAGAGGGCCCCCAAAACGTCCCCGAAGACCCCTAAGAGGCTTCCAAGACGCCTTCCAGATGCCCCTCCGAGCCTCTAGCTGCGTTTTTGAGCTTTCGGACGCCGCTTCGCTGCCATGGCTGGAAGCTGTCCAAAGCGGCTGTAATGCCGAGACTCGCATTCCAGTTTGCTGCAGCTTTCACGCATGGCGATCCTATGTCCATATCGCTGCCACATGAACAGCCAACACTTCCGCCGCACTTTCCGTTCCCGTGCCGGCCCAGGTTCTAACACGCCCTATCCGTGCAGGCACGCTGGCGGATGAGGAGGGAATTGGGAGGGAGGGTTTGTTGTAACATCGTCTTGGGCTTACACGGCTCCCCCTCCCCCCCGCCCCTCCCCCCCTCCATCCTCCCTCCCCCTGGCACCCTCCTCAGGTCGCCCTCCTGGCGTTGCTTTCCCCTTCGGCACCCCGTCAGGATCCTACGGCGCCTTCTGCTGCGTGGGCCTCAGGCCCGCTGGCGCAGGCGGCCGAGAGGACCCCCCATCCTCGCCCAGCGAGCCTGCGCGACGCGCCCCTCCCGAGACTGTCGGAGACGCCTGCGGCGAATCCCCGCCGCTCGCTGCCCTGTTGGAAACGCCTGCGTTGTGAAACGTGGAGCGGCAGCTCAGAGGAGGAAAAGGCACCCGTACGCACGCACACGCACACGCACACGCACACGCACACGCACACACACACACACACAAGCACACACACACAAACTCACACAAACACACAAACACACACACAGACGCACACGCGAACGCCCACAGGCGCACACAGGCGCACACACGCTCACACGCGCGCAGACACGCGCACACACGCGCACACACGCGCAGACACGCGCACACACGCGCCCACACGCACACACACAAAACAAAAAGAACTTTCGGCCAAAGCCGGCCTAACGGGACGACAAGGGGCCGGCAAGACATGCACACACAAACACACACACACACACGCAAATACACGCACACGCACGCACGCTTCTTGTCGTCGCGGCCACGCGCGCGGCGGCGCGGCGCAGGCAGTCCAACGAGAGCACGCGCGCGACCGGGCCAGATGGCGCGGCGGCCGAGAGGGGGATGTAAGAGGCCATGATCGGGGCGGTGGGCCAGGCATGTGGGGGGAGTCATTGTCTCCCAACCGCCCACGGATCGCCGACAGGGCTCTCACAGCCCCGCCCTGCTCAGGCAGGTGCGGCTCTGCTATTTGGGGCCTGTCGCCGATCTGTCGGCCAGGTGTCGCCGATCCCAGGTCGATGCTTCCCTCCCCCCCCATGCCAGTCCCCCCCCGCCCGTTGCCCCCCAGAAGAGGGGGCGAGGGCACCCACACACACAGCGCACGAGGCCCTCGCGAGCGCCCACGGGCGGGCACGGCCCGGGCGAGCGCCCACGGGCGAATGCACCAAGGGGCGTTGCATGGCCGCTCGGGCACTCGTTATACATATCTATATGTGCATGCATACATACGTACATAATACACATACATACATACATACATACATACATACATACATACATACATACATACATACATACATACATACATGCAACATACATACATGCATACATACATACATACATACATACATGCATATGCATACATACATACATACATACATGCATGCATGCAAGCATGCATACATGCATGCATACATACATACATACATACATACGTACGTACGTACATACATACATACATACATACATACGTACATACATACATACATACATACATACATACATACATACATATATACATACATACATACATACATACATACACACACATATATACATACCTATATACATACATACACACATACACACATACACACATACATACATACATACATACATACATACAGACAGACAGACAGACAGACAGACAGACAGACAGACAGACATACGTACATATGTACAGTCCTGCATGCTCATATGTATATATATACATACATGGAATGCGCGGCTTATGCGTTTATATAACGTATGGGCCACGCATGTGTATATACGATATATATATATATATATATATATATATAGTTAAGTATGTACACATGAAGGCGTGTTGGTCATGCAGTGTGCCGGTTCGCCTTCTCTGGCCACCCCTGGCTCCCGAAGTGGGCGGAGGAGGGCGAGGATCACCAAGCGCGTTCCATTGCTCGCAAAGTGCCTACTCGCAAACGTCCGACAGACATGTGTCGGCGTTGGTGCAGTTTACCGTGGATCCCCCGCGGCGTATCCGGGCAGTTTGCGAGGAGTTACCTTGCGAGTAGTGGAGCGCGCGCGTCTGGAGGAGGAGGAGGCGGCGGACGGGCGAGCCGCAGGGTGGAGGCGGGGATGGGCCAGGCGGAGGCGACGGCGCCA